TTTGCTCTGTGTGTGATCTGTTTACCTCCCTATCCGCTGGATTACATTTCTCCCTGTAACATGCATATCAGCTTCATCACAGCCAAAACTAATCTCACCTCTGCCTACCGCAGTTTCTCTTTTCCTGTTTCTCATCTTCCCTCGGTGTATACTACAGATCGCTTCACACAACCAGGCGACTTCATTCCTAGTCCTCTCTCCTGCCCCGCTCCCCACTTTATCTTCTCACAAACTAATTTAGTCTGCGTCCTTGCTTCTTTCTCTCTGTCGTCCATCTCTTGGCTCTCTGAGGCGTATCTTGCGTATTTTAATCTGCATAATGTGCCTCTCTTCTTATCACTTCTGAGTCTATTTTGTTTCAGTATGTGAAAACGATCAGATATACTCTCTTTCTGTCTACTGCTATATCCGTCTTTAAAGGTAGGGTAGGCAATTCACTTCAGAAACACTTTTTGTTATATTCCATGGAATGCTCTTAACATCCCGATAGCAATGAATATATGAAATGCTTTGACAATAAATACATAAAAAAATGTCATCTGTGGAAGCCGTGGTACTGTAAAAAGTACGACCAATCATCTGAGCCGGCCCGGCTAAAATAACTGGACGGCCTACCTGCCTGTCAGCCTTCCATCTGTGCACAAACTTATCTCGTGCCCTCATTGGTCATGTGCGCGTTCGTGTGTGTTGGAGGAGGGGCTCTGTAAGGAAGTCTGAAGGAAGGGGCAGATTTTTTTCGGCTGCGTACTTTCAAATTCTAGCGCACTCGAGCTGGTTTCTCCATTCTTACCTACCCTACCTTTAAGGTTTACTGTCCACTGGGGACTTCTCTTTTTTACTACTGAGGTCTTTTTCTTGTTTTCGGGGTTAATGACTGTTGTACTGCAAGCTCTGCATGTTTCTGACAGAAGTTAGCGCTTGGGGTTGGAAATATTTAAATTCTTATAAATAAAAGAGAGCAGATTGCAGAGCTTCAGGAGCTCGAGGAGCAGAAGTAAATGTTCCATTCTAAATATAAATGTTTCCTTTTATCACTTGTATTTTTCACAGACTCTGATTCAATTTGAGTTTTAGAGCACTGGTTTATAATTTAGAGTCTAAAGGGTATAATCTGATCCAAACAAACAAATCCGTCATTAACAATAGCTGCCGCCTCAACCAGCCTTCACACTTCAGATTATATTGTGGGGGCATGAAGTTGGATTTCACAGGACAGTCATTAGGTGGTCTTTGGGTTTGTAAAAAGCATATCTGGTTTCTGGTTGAAATAGCACAACAGCTGTGTTACTTGTTCTAACTTGATTCTTCTTCAGGTGGCAGAGGTTAATAGCATATGTTCATCATTTTAAAAGACAGCAGCAGTGCAGTACACTGGTGTTTCCTGTTTAGTGTGCTACAAATTGTGCGAACATAAAATGAGTTGGAGGAGCAGACCATTAGAGCACATGGCACAGGCTGCAGCTGTGTTAATGTAGTAAAGCCTTCAATGGTCATTTTTTAAAAGCAGACAAAGATTTTGTCAAAGCAGAACAAAGCACAGGTATAAATCATAAAAATGAACGACGCCTCTTGCAATTAGCTGCATCGATTTTGAAGTTCTAGTATGAAACACACTTGAATAGTAAAGGGCCCTCGTTAATGTAATTAGTAACACCTGTGTCAAAATGTCAGCTGTGAACAAGGTTGCTCGAGGGTTCACTGAATATTCATTGGTTTGAGGACTTTAAAGTGTTTCGGTAACACATCAGTAAAGTAAGAGCTTTCCATAATTGAATTGGGCAACATCTTAACTTTAACCCTGGATTTCAACCCAACAGGGTTAACAAACAGAACATCTCAGTTTCGTTTAAACCCCAGGCTTTCACTTGTCATTCAGTACGGAGCTGAACCGTCCGTGACCCTACTGATCCAATGCCTCAAACTATGTCTTAACACTACCTCTCTGGCATGTAAAAGGCAGTGCTTACCTTTCTTCTCTGCGGTTGTAACCCCCAGTCAGAGTGTCAAACCTGTCTTATCCCAGAGTTAAATGTGAGGCTTAGGAAAGGGTTAGCCTGAGGTTACAGGTAGTGTGAAGTCTTTCAGTGTCTTTGCAGAAGAGGCTGCCTTAAAGAGATGGATAGAATTGGCGGCTGAAACCCTCTTTATTGGTCACACATGTTCATGCACACAGCACACACACACACACAGTGACATTTGTTCTCTGCTTTTAACCCATCCTAGTTCTAGGAGCTGGCAGCTGTTGTACAGCGCCCGGGGAGCAATGGGGAGTTTTTTATTTTACTTAATTGTGTTGGTGAGGCACTGAAAAAAGTCAGCTAAAAGGAAATATTAATGTCAGCAAGCAGGGCGTAATTTCCCTTTATGAATTGGTTGTACTTCTCATTCAAAACATTTGACTTGAGCCGCCCAACATTACACCAACAATTGTTCCAAAGCACACCTGACACAAGTCTATTGAGAGCTACTGTTCAAGCGTCAGAAACAACTCTCACAGAGTAGGAAAAAAAAGTGTACAAACCCCAGGCTGAGCTCCTGCCTGTGAGAGCAATCCATAGTTTCACAGAAAAGGGGTTCAAAGAAACAAAGAGCATATGGATAAAGGATAGAGGATGAAGGCAGGTTGGATGGAAACGGATGAGGTAGAAAGCAAACTTGGTTGTGAGATGTCTGGAGATTTCTGAGTGTTGCAGAATCAATCCGTCCCTGTTTATGTGTCCTCCTCCTCTCTCTCTTCTTCCCACTAGCCCTGGGCGTTGACAAGACACCGCAACACCCGACGCCCACGCAGGAAGAGCACAACGCCGACTCCTCAGAACCCGTCTGATTTCCCTGAACCCTCATCCTCCAACCCTCTCTCTCATTGCTCCCAGATGTTTCCTGCCCCATTTCCCCCTGCAGCCCTCCTTCCATGGTATTCTCTCTGATTTCACCGTCTCCCTCGTCTCTCGTATCGCTGTCATACCTGCCTCTCCGTCCTTTCCTTCATCTCTCATGCTCCGCTGTTGGCACTCCCTCCCTCCCCTGTCCCACCTTTAACACGTTATTTTGTTTTTCTCTGCACCTCCTATTTTTGGTTATTCTGTCTTATTTTTTTGTCTTCTACTATCACTGATCTACATTCCCTATTTTCAGACTGTATTACATGTATTCTGATGTATGTCCACATTTGCAGTTAGTTAGTTAAAAAATTAGACACGTCATCTGTCATACAAGCTTTGGCTGATATTTGTCATTTTTTGTCAAACAAGGTTTGGTTGTTTGTAGACGTGGGTCGTAGTGAGACTCAAATTAACAGAATTTTGTTCCTTCACCACAGGAATCTCAAAGGAGCAAATATTCTAGATCAAACATTGGTGGAAGTGTCTCTTAATTTTGAATCATGACTCAAATATTTCAACACATTTCCCTCCTGAATAACAATTTTTCACTAATACTGCCAAATATCCCAAAGTGATTTCCTCTTACCCCTCACAATCTCTTTCTCTCAACATTTGATCTTTCTCTTAATTTGTCAAAATGTCTCCTTTTCACTTTCCTTCCATCATTTCCTATTTTGTCTTTCTCTCTCCTTTTAACTGACTTCCTACCTCCATGTCTACTTTGCTCGATTCCACTATCTCTTTATCACTTTCCTCCTGTCTCTCTCTGTCTGGTTCAGTGGGAGTTTGGAAAAGACTCAGTCTCGCTCGTGAAAGAAAAGTGTTGCTTCACTCCCCCAGCTCTCTTTTGATCTGAAATAAAAGGAAATGTGAAACATCCCCCAGACACTCACACTGACATTTACAGCATCTATCCTCTCCTACAACCTACTCAATGGCTACAAGATTGGAGAAATGCAGTAGTATGAAGGGGCTGAGAAAACAGGGGGGAATAGAGGGAGTGAAAGAGTGAGGAAATGAGTCTAGAGTATTGGGAAAAGTAAGAAATAATTAAATCTGTGAGTGTGTGAGAGAGGGAACAAATTACTTTGGCGACAGTAAAACAAAGTGAGGGGTTTATGGTGGCAGCGGTGGAGGTGGTTTGTGTGTCTGTGTGTGTATGTGGTGCCCACGTAAAAGTGTTTCTAAAGACTAAGTAACAGGTAGAGAGCCGTGGAAGAGGAAGCTCTCCCAGGAGGCAGTGTGTGTGCTTTCATGTTTCAACAGAGTAAAATCAGCGCGGATCAAAAAGGAAAGCCAATATGGGACATGTACAAAGAGACACAGTCAGTCAGTTACAGTTTGGCAGGCTGGAGTTAAAGACTACATCAATCAAGACAAACACACACACACACACATAAACACACTACTCTATAATATCTAAAGTAGAGGTAAAACCAAATTATTCAACTGCCTAATTTGGCGTTTTCGATTCAAATTGGAAAAGCCATGTTGCTCAGCCCGGTGTTTCTGTGTCATGAGCTGACATTATAACCTGCATGGTATATAAGTGTCTAAAAGAATTCTACTAAATAATAAATGACCTGTTAATTTGCAGGCTCTTGAATGCTTATTGGACTCTTAACTACTGTTTAATTAAAGCACTGGAAAGGTCAATCAGTTAAACCAATAACGTGTAGACAAGACACTTCAAGGTGGCTAACCAGAGTGATCAACATCAAGGACAGTTCGAGTTTTTTAACCATTACTATATATTTTAGGGTATTTGCACTCATCAAATTGCTTGAAATATTTCCCATCATTTGAAATGAAAAAGAGCCAACATATGAAACAAATTGGACTCTTCTTGGAGTCTTTTGTAAAAGATGAAGGGATTAAGTTGCTTAAAACAAACCTAAGTGTACATACTAGCACTTTAATTTACAATCAATATGCGTACACCACCTTCACAACACCTACACTTCTCTTGGTGTATCTTCTTCATATAGGTGCAGACACACACACTCAATGTGTTCCTTTATACCCAGAAAGAAACATGGTGAGATTTTCTATCATTTCACCTTTGCCACAGCATCAGAAATACAGGCACAGTCTCTAACGACAGCACATACTACTCACCGGTGTAATCTTCACGGCAGATGCAGGTGTACCCTCCTTCTCTGCGGGCGCACACCCCCCCGTTCAGGCAGGGGTTGGAGTAACACAGGTTGATCTCCGTCTCGCAGTAATCACCCGTGAAGCCAACCGGGCAGCGACAGCGCAGGCCGGCGATGGGGTGGATTGGCCGGAACAAGATGGAGGGCGAGGAGATGAAGGGGGCGGAGCTGTTGAAACGCAGCACTGAGATGCACTTCATGTAGTTCTGGCACGGCTCACGCAGACACACATTGTCGTCGAACGGGAGCACCTGGAGTAATAAGAGGCATTGTGAAGATTGTTATTGCTGCATTAGCATGTACAAGTAGTAGTAGTAGCAGTGTTTCCCCTACCATAGTCTTGGGGGGGCGCTGCGCCACCCCAACGGAACCCCGCACCCCCCCTGAAATTCAAGGTGTTTTTTTTGTATATATAAATATAGATAGCGCCAAATCGAAACTGAAATAATCTATCTACGGTCACTTTTCACATTGAACATGTGCTCTTTTATTTTCATTTCAAACCTTTATTTATGCAGGTGAATCCCATTGAGATCATTGATCTATTTTTCAAGGATGACCTGCTGTTTATTAAATAAACTAAACGCTTATGTTATTTATCCAATGTATGTGCATGTTTCAGTGTCCACTGCATTGCTTTGCGCATTCACATTCTCTCCTCTGCTCTGTTTCCGAAGGGCGGGTAGTGTGTATTCGTCATTCAAAAGAGGCAACAACCGGAAGACAGACTGCGTGACAAATAGCGTGTGTGTTCCATTTTCACTCTACTGTACAACGAGAAGCTCATGGGGCTTTCCCGAACCTGTGTCGAGAACTGGAGTTAAATGAAATCTCAGATTTGCCTTCTTAATAGTTTGTTTGGGTCCCTCACTTCCGTTTCGCTTCTCATGCACTGATTCGCTAAGCTGAACAGCCAATCAGAGTGATTTCTTTGGCCGACAGCCAAAGGCCGACAGCCTACCGATGAGAGGCTCAAATAACTTCAGGTGAGGTAAAGGACTCTCTGATTGATTGGATAGTTAACTTTAGTCTAAGTTATCTCAGTGAGTCTCAAATTGTTTGGTCATCTATGTAAACAAATATTTCCAATGCACACCTTTATCTATTTAATATATTTGTAAAAAATTAAGTAATAAATCATTCCAATGTGTACAGTAAAAAAAAGGGGAGTGATTAGTCAAATATGCATTAATAAAAAGAAAAGATTGCTAACTAGGTAACATAAGATAAGAGAGAGGAGTTTATAAAATAAACTAGTTTAAATTATTTGTTATTGGTTGTGATCATATTCTAAAGATGTTTGGATTATTGAAATATATACAGTTCTGTTTCATATGAGTGTTGAGAGCTGTACCCATAAATCTCTTCATCTTGTGCTCAAAGTGCACCAGATTGATGCTTTTAACTTCAACATTTAAAAAAAAATCTTCCCGCGGGAGCATGCCCCCGGACCCCCCTAGAGTATGTGAGGTCCACTCACAAATAAAGCAGGTTCACATGGATAGGATACTAGATAAGTTTGCCAGGTATTATACACGACTACACATTAGTCCTAACAAATATTTTGTTAGAAAGGCAAGAAAAGGGATTCAAATCGAATCCTAATTGTTCAGATAAAATACAAAATTGAGTTTAAATTCCACAACATCAACATATCCCATGAGGCTACTACACGCAGAAGCATCAACAAAAGGAGAATGCTAACCAATTAATTAGCTTAGTTAGCTTTGTGCTAAATTCAGGAGCTGTTCAACTTTTGACTCAAAATGTGTAACTTATTAAGGTAAAAACATGGAAAGAATGGTTCCATGTTGTTTAGAGAGACTTGACATAATGTTAGCATGCTAGCGCTTTCACTTAAGCACTGGCTACCTGTTATGCTAGTACTAAAACATACCAGTAAGCATGCTGACAAACAGGAAGTCATGTTTGCTCTACTCCAAATTATCCCTCAGTTCTTTATTTTTTTATAGCTTACTAATATAGCTCTAAATATTGTCCTCTTACCGTCATGGTTCAGATGAAAGAAGCTTGATTAAAATAAAATATGAATATGATAATCTAAAGGTCTCACAGCCTGAGAGCAGCACAAGAGTCCTGTGGGTTTAATTGCCCTGGGTCAGGCCTCTCAGGCTACAGAGCCTACGTGTGGAGGCAAACCGAATAAAGAAGAAATAACAGAATATTTGTTGAGAGCCCACTGTCATTTTGAATAATTAATTCCCTCTGCTGTCTTTCAAGGTATTTCTTCTCCTCAGAAAACGTCACCATGAATGTCTCCTTGCATACTCTATGTCCAGATTTCACTAGAAGTGGTGTACAATTAGAGCCTAGGATTACAGCCCTAAATTAACATACTGTAATTCAAGAATATTTATCTTAATTTATCAGGTTTTGTTTTGCTTTTATGTACATTTGTCATAATTTTGCTTTCCAGGGGGGACTGTTCCAGCTTGCTGTTGAGGTCACTGGATCAGATATATTCACAAGATTGTGTTTTCTTAAGACAGTAAGAGTATCAGCTTCAGTTTGTTGGTGATAATGTGTGTTTGTGTGACTGTCTTATTGAGAAAAGGTCGTATACATTCAGCCTTTAAATATGTATCTCCAGACATGGCTGTGCTATCTCTCAGCCCTACATACATCTTTTCTCCTTTTGGTGTCACTTGTTGTCTTCTATCGAAACATCTCTTCCTCTCATGCGTGCATATAGATGCTCTGAGAGTGTGTTAGCGTGTACTGTACTCTATGTAACTGATGTGCCTGCTGTGTCCAGGTGTGTGTGATTTCATGCATGAGAACATTTAGTGGTCATATCAGCAAACTGCTGGTTAAAGCCATATGGATGCGCTGGCATGGCATCTGTATTCTATTATTACCGGTTCACATGCAATATGCTCATGTGACTGTCTTGAGATGCATGTGCACAATGTGTTCTACCACTTTTTTTATTTATTTTTGTATGCATCTTATACACTAAGCACTTAAAAGGTGCCGTAACAATGCAGTTTCCAAGCTTAAATGTCACATTTTGAATGTTTTACAATTAATTTACTCCACTCAGTACTTCATGACTTGATTTGTTTGTCTTTATCCTTTTTGGTGTGAGTTAATAGGGCGAATCTGTTTTGTAATGTATGTATATCATTTAAATGTAAAAGGCTGTGTTGTATGTTGCTAAAAATGTAAATAAATATATTGTGGGATAAAAAAACGATGAATTCTCCCATTTAAATCTGTGTTATTGACATAAACTAACCTCCATCTGCGTCAGTGACGTCAGCCTCGGCCTGTTCAGATACAGCTGCTCCTCCAGGGTCTCGGAGGGGAAGAAGACCCCGCCGGGTAACGCAGCAGAAAAGCTGACATTCAGGATCCCTCCCGGCGCCGCGTCCAGGTCCGGCTGGATGTTGAAGATAAAAACATCCTCGACGGGCACAGAGAGCACTGCTGACACGCCCTCCAGGAAGTTACCAAGCAGTGGTGACAGGAAGTGCTCCTGGGACATGTTCTGCAGGCGGACGGTGACACTGCTGCCCAGCATGTCTTCTGTGATGATGAGGACGCGGAGAACGCACTGGGCTGAAATGCTGTAGACGCCATCTGAAGAGTTAAAAAAAGACAATCGAGGAAAAGGTTGAATAAATGTGCTTCTGAGGATGGACAAAAGGGTTAGGAGGTGAAGAAGCATTAAGATAAAGTGATAAAGAAAGATGTTGGAGAGTTTAGAGACTGTAAAGTGGTTTAAAATTGTGCAGGACAATCATACAAGATATGTAACTGTAAGACTCCATCTAGTGAAGTCTTACATGCACATTGACATCTACACACATACAAATATTGTGAAAATAAAAGAGAAAAATAGACCCAGGCTTGTTTTAATAACTGCTAAGTCTCTTTACAGTAAATGCTGAAGAAAACAATTTCACACTGGAGGCTATTCGAGTGGCAACCATAGGGTGGCAACACAGTTGAAGTAGGCCACCTCCAGAGAACAGAAACAAATACACACACACACACACACACACACACACACACACACACACACACACACACTTGTTTTCATTCAAACTTGTGTTAATAGCAGTCAAAATAAATGTATTTTATTGAGTGAAAGAGGGAGTGAAGCTCACGATTGAAACTGCTGCTAAGCTGATGTTTAAATAATGTGATGGGGAAATACATTTGCTCTGGGTTATTAACACATATTATGTAAGCTTGTATCTGCTGTGAGTGAACTGCAACCGTGCTAGCTGCCAGATCATAATATGAGTTGTGTAGTCATGCATATATGTAGTTATGTAATAGTGAGGCTTATATAGTTTCACATGGCAAACAGGTCAAAAAGGCACCAAATTTGGCACTTGAGGTCAATTTCGGCATTATTATTAAGGTTTGGGAAATATGGTGTTTTTTATGGTTTTGGTTTTTATTTAAAAACTGACTATTAACATTTAAGACCCTCTAATTTCCTTAGATTAACTGGGTTGAGTGGTCACCTTAAACTTATGATGATCATTGTGACCTATATCAGAAAAACACATGTTTTAGATGCTCACATCCACTTACGCTGTGACTTAATTAAACCTTACCCACACCACAATATCTGTCATGAAGCCAAGAAGTATATATATATTTTTTTTTGCACACAGTCAACTATCCAGAAGACTTTCTTAAATGGTTGTTGGATGAGACATGTATGGTATAAGACGGCTTAGCCCTTTTCTGAAATCCACCTCACCATTGTTTGCAAGATAATGCAATTCTATAATCTTATTTTCCAGTAAGAGAGACAAAACTGATCCTCTGAAATCTACATTTGTTTGTGAGCCAGGAAGTCTGTTTTATGCCTTTTGCATTTGATTGAGCAAACCACACAAAGACAGAGAGAGAGGGGAGTGCCCTCCTCATGCAGAACACATAATCTTTCCCGTCTCCTTACACTCAAGCTTTGGTTACAAATTCAACACAGCGCTCCTTTTTCTCTGAAACCTGTGACTTGTACAAAATGAGCTCATACGAATCACAGCAGGTCACAGCCCTCACAAACAGAACAATATCTGCAACAAAAACACACACAAGGCATGTTTCTTCTACAATGGATACAAACACAATCCGCTGCTAGGCTGTATTTTATGGCTGTATAAAGCAATTTGGTGCGACAACCTGCATGGCTAATAAGCTATAAAAGAAACAAATGGACATGACCAGACAGCCATGAGAGGGCAATTCTCTGCAGCAGCACTGAGGAGGTGAAACAGGGTGAACAGGTTGATGAGAGCATGAAAGAGGAAGAAAACAGAACATGAGGGGACTTGAAGTAAAAAGGGCATGATTAATCAGAGAAATAAAGTAATAAGAAATGAAAGAGCGTGTCAGTGGAGGATGGAGAGTGAGGGGGGGAAAAGACGGACAGAGGCGATGGAGGGTGAAAGATATTTTAAAAAAACTAGAAGAAGCAAAATATGAGGTACAAGAGAAGAAACATGAGGAAGGGATGAATGATAAAGAGGGAGCACTATAATGAACCCAACATCTATAATAATGTACTTTTTATGTATTGCTGTAAATAATTGATTATTGATGCTCACTTCTTTTCATTTGCTAATACTGTAGTAAACTTAAATGGAAGTGGTTACTTGATTGATGAAATGGTCAATAATGCATTAGAATTAGACGAGGTGACCAAAGTGAATGATATTAATCAGTTTGATCATTCATTTGCAATGTACTCATTTTCTGTTGACATTAAGGGACAAACATACAGAAAGGAAGGAGGGCAGGAAGTGAAGAAATGCAAAAAAAGGAAAGAGAGACAAAATGAGTCATTTGAAATGATTGCGAAGGTTAAAGAAAAAAAAATGCAATACAGGCAATGAAATTAAAAGAAAAGACTGAATAAATAGAAAAAGATGGAGAGAGATGAGGAGAAAAAAGGAGGAGAGAGGGGCGGTGGGATGGGGGTTGGGTGGGTGGCAGCTGGTTTGATTACCGGATTATGAGGAGCCTCACTCCCCACTGACCTCTAACACACACACACACACACACACACACACACACACACACACACACACACACACCACACACACACACACACACACACACACACACACACACACACACACACACACACACACACACACACACACACACTAAAATCCAGAGCCCTTCATAATGAATGACAGAGGAAGGAGAAGCAATATGAAGGAACAGAGGAGGGAAACTCCCACATAAAATCATCAGGGAACATTTTAATGGAATCATTTGTAAAATTAGATAGATGAACAGAAATGGATAGATGGATTAGAGTCAACATAATGCAGCATGTCCTACTTTAAAATAATGTTCAGTATTAGGTGAAGTAATTAAATGTCACAGCATCTTCTGGGGTTAAAAGCCAGCTGTTTTATCAGCTCTCTGGATCACGATGCAAAGACGCAGTGGTAATTGACGCTGATCTCCCATTGTCATTTAAATGAGACAGGAATCTATGAAAAGACCTGCGATCATCTGCTGGAATAGGACCCAATCTCTACACACACACACAACCACACACACACATATTCCCTCTATTTCTGTACACTGAAATACAGCCGTCAACGACACAAAGCCGATACAAAGCTAGATGTAGATTAGCTTAGCTTAGCATAAAGACAGGAAACAGGGGTAAGCATAGTCTGACAGGGAGCAACATGCAAATAAAAAAGTGTTTTCAATGTTTCTATGCTAAGCTAACTGTCTTTTGGCTATAGATTCGTATAAATCACAGTATTATTGCACATTAAATATTAAATCTTTGCGTGAATTGTCTGCCTTTCAAAGACATTATGACCCTACCAATATTCTCTTTTACAAAAACATAATGCGCACAAAATAGAAGTAACACTACTGAAACATTACCACTTGTTGTGTCCTACAGTATGGCTGTATAATTTCATTTATAATGATGATATTGGCAAAAGGATACACTTAATTTGTACCCAGATATGTTTTATTTCACGAGGATGAAAAAGCACTTACTCGCTTTTATTCCAATTGCTGGAGGACGTTTCTGTTTTTCTCTTCTTTGCCTCCAAACAATCCATCTGCACTGTGGTTGGTTAGTCCGTTGTTGTCATGCTGCTTTGTGTGCAATTGCCATGTTGGCCTCCTGCAGACTGTGTGCTTAACTGTTTTCCGATAAGAAAAAAAACAACACTACAATTCCCTCTGCCAGAGACACTGAAAAAAAATCCCTTTGAGTTTCAGGCTCCCATGAACCCCCTTGAGTTGCCCACGGGGTACAACAGTAAGAGGAATATATGACAACGCTACAAAACATGTTACAGGCTAAAATGAAAAATGCTACTAAATATCAGAGGCTGTTAGTGTTTGCCCTGACAGTTTTTAACTTCACTTCAGAGGCCATTACAAGCAGCCATTACATTCTGACAGTAAATCTGGTGCACGAACACACACACACACACACACACACACACACACACACACACACACACACACACACACACACACACACACACACACACACACACACACACACACACACACACACACACACACACACACACACACTAACATATCTTCATTTGGCTTCCCTTCGTGTCTCCACTCCAGCTAATTTGGACGACCTACATCAGCACAGGGCTCTTAAATCATCCTACCACATGTGCAACCAATGGAGAGAACAACTATTCAAGCTAAATGGCAATTTCGGCAATTAGACCCACAAAACGCTGTCTACTTTCTGCCCCCCGGGTCACTAACTCACCTCCTTTTCTGCATTCAGCTTTAAATTTACACAGGAACATGCCCTTATAAGCTAATTACAGTTCTGCTGGCAACACAAAAGCCATAACCCATTAGTCTGCAGAAACATAAAGGCCATTTCCCAATTTTCTGCAAGGAATGTTTCTTCCCTTTTTGGTACAAGTTAGACAACTGAGGATTGTGCTACAGCATGGGAATCTGGTATAACAAAAAGCCTAATTATAATGTTTCCTGCTGGTTTAAAAAGCACACGTTTTTCCAAAAGCACAATAGGGAAAAGGTTCTAAAAAAGGAAGCGTTTGAAAGGTTATGCAAGGATTCCTTACTTTGTCTGAAGTTTGACTTTAATGTTCAAATTAAATAAAGTTATTGTGCTTTATGAGGAATATCATTGTGAGATCAGGTGACCTTTACTGTAGTTTTTGTATCAGATTCTCGTCAGTTACTAAAAACCATCCATCTGACAGTGTTGCGCCCAAAAAAAAGCATTATCAGCTAACAAATACATGTCATGGCCCTCTCTGGCCCTTTGGACAACATTTTGAATAAACAGGGCTAATAGCACTAGCCCGTAATGGTCACACGCATGTAAAACTATTACAAGTATCTAAAATGATTAATTAATTGAAGAAATTCTTGCGTGGCAACTGAATGAATGAAAACCCTTAATCAAAAACTTTAGAGCCAATTTAATTTGAAATTGAACATATTACACATTTTAGAAATAAGGTTAAACTCTGTATGAAGGCCAATACTGAAGCTCAATAAAGAGAGGAAATCCAGTGCACAAGGGCATACAGTAAGTCACCAACTATCCTGTGGGCTTATGGGATTCT